AGCGGAACACCCATTTTGGGGGGAATTCGCCACGCGATGAACAATCTACAGCCGGGAGCACGTTGTCCCTCGCGAGTTTGTTCTTAATGTATTCCTTATTCAACATCGCCTAGCAAACCCCCTTCTCGTTCCGAGAAGGCGCTTCCCGTCATCCGCCGAGCGACCAACATAATACGATATCGAGCCAGTTGTCCTTCGCGAATGTGCTCTTCATGTATTCCTTATTTAGCATAGCCTAACAAGCTCACATAACCTTTTCTTACCGAGAACGCGCTTCCCGTCATCCGCCAGCCCCTTTTTGGGTCTACGGCGTATGAGACTGCTGTCCCTCCCCAAACTTTGTATCACTGAGCGCTTTCCACTACTGGCAGAGTGCCTACTCGCAAACGTCAGAAAAAAACATGCCTTCCTACATGCAGTGGAGCGTGAAGCCCCCGCGGCGGGTTTTGCCAATTTGCGAGCAGCTACTTTGCGAGTCGGGGAACGCGCTTGTCTCAGGTTGGGCGTGTCCCCCTACAGGCGCATTTTGGACGAAAAATAAACAATAGTCCAAAAGCAGTCAAAAACAGAAAAATATAACTAAGCAACAAAATCGTCCCCAGACTATTTTTTGAATATTTTTGAACTTTCCTCCTGTAGAGGGACAGGCCCGACTTAACGTTTGCCGAGTTTCACCCCTCCCCCTGGAGCTCGGTCGGGCCGGCTTGGGCGGGGGGGTCACAGGTGCCGGCGGGGTGCCCGCGGTTCGACGTCCGCAGCCGCCAAGCTGCCTCGCAGTGTTCCTCCGCGGGGCCCGAGATGGCCCCAAGATGGCGAGCGTCTTCTTCTTCGGCGTGTCGACATTGGGCGGAAGGGGGGGAAGGAGGAGGGGATCTGGCTCCGGAGCTCTGCTCAATGCGACTGTTTGCATCCGTGGGTCCTCGGGGGCAGGGACCTTCCCTGCTCGAAACAGGCGCGGAAACAGCCAAGATCTACTCCATGGGAGGGGCGGAGGGGGGGCTGCAAGGGCCCGCGCCGAGCGGCAAAACGATGAAGAAGAAAACGGGCACAGATCCCATTACAGTAGGAGCTCGACTACAAGAGACCTTCCACGGTAAAGCCGACCCTGGAAGCCCAGGACGTCACGACTTTTGATGTGGGAACGTCACGCGTTCCATCGCAAGACCATCGACACCCAAGAAGCCCAGGGCACCCTGGAGGCAAGAAGGGTGGTTCTTGGCATGGGTCTTCTCTGTATGAAATCAGAACAGCTCGGGAAACCTCGAAGATGCCATGCCTGTAGAAGAAAGCTTGAGGACGAGCCTGAAGAAGGCCCCGACACGCAAAACATCGGCCCAATCCCCCGGGGAATTCGGCAGGTTCTGCACAATATCTGCTGTGAATTTGTCCGCAGAACCCGAGACAGCCTCCGAGGCCCCCAAGATGGATCCAGGCCGAGCCGGGGGGCTCCCAAGAGGGCCCCAGCGGAGGCGCCCAAGACAGCCCCGGGGCAGCTCGAGGCGATCCCGAGAGGGGCCCAAGACAGCCTCAGCTGGCCCCGAGGCGAGAGGGGCCACGAGAAGGGGGGACCGGCGCAGGGGGGGAATGCATCGACCTGGGATCGGCGATGCATCGCCGATGGATCGGCGATGGGCCTCCGAGGGTGAATCGGCACCTTTCTGGGCAGGTTGGGGCTATCAGACCCCTATTGGCGATCAGTGGGCGATTGGGGGTCGATGCATCCCCCCCTGTGCCTATCCCCCCCCTGTGAGGATGAGGATGATGATGATGATGAGGAGGAGGAGGAGGAGGAAGATGACATCGAGGAGGAGGAGGCGGATGAGGACGAGGAGGAGGAGGAGGACGAGGAGGAGGAGGAGGAGGAGCAGGAGGAGGACGAGGAGGAGGAGGAGCAGGAGGAGGAGGAGGAAGAGGACACCGAGGAGGAGGAGGCGGATGAGGACGGGGAGGAGGAGACCAAGACAACCCAAGAGGGGCCCAAGACAGCCCAAGATGGCCCCAAGACGGCTCCGAGAGGCGCCCAGGACGGCCAGGGAGGTCCCCGAGGGGCCCCCCAAAGGAGGGGGCCGGACGGGAGGCGGGCGGCCGGCCCCTCGCAGGCGCAATGGCGAGCAGTGCTGCACGCTCTCGGGGCCGTGGATGCCTTTGGGGCGGCGTTGTCGCAGAATCGACGATTGCCGATGTAAGATCGATGGGAGAAGACGAGAACAAGACGAACGCCACAGTCAGTGAGCAAGCGCCCAAAAACAACTTCTTCGTCGGAGGAGTCGGAGGGCGGACGAGGGAGGGAGCGCGGAAAAAAGGGAGGGGAGAGGAAGAGAAAGAGGGGTAGAAGAAAACGAAAGAAGAGGAGAAGAATTACGACACCTTCATCGACTACCGATGACTGGGTGCGATGTCATAATCCACGGTCCCTAATGGACCGGCGGTATGGCGTAAGCCAGTGAGTCTACTCTGCTCTACTCTGCACTACCCTATCTACACTGCCCTACCCTACTCTACCCTGCTCTACTCAGCTCCACTCCTACTCGGTACTGTTCTACCCGGTATTCCAAGCTACTCTGATATGGTCTGCTGTGACCTACTCGATTGTGCTCTCTCCTGCTCATGGCATCGTCCCTACGCTACTCTAACAAGATATGTATACCCTACTTTACTCTGCCCTGCCCTACCCCGCCCTACCCCAAGATAATCCTCATCAAATCTATTAAACTCCTCGTCAACTCCCTGCTCTGCTATACTCTACTCCAGTATGCTCTATTCGCATGACCTGCTCTACTCTACTCTACTCTCCTCTACTTTACTCTACTCTGCTACACTCTACTCAACTTCTGTGATTGTTGGGCGATTGTTGGAACGCCAGTGGAATAGACGCAGGCAGCCATTGGAATGAACGCAGGATGACTTTTGACTAGTCACAAGCAGCTAGTGGAATAGCAGAGGAAACCATGCGGATACAGAGGAAACTATGCGGATAGCAGAGGAAACCATGCCGATAAAGATGAAGTCACCCGGATAGCTCGACGATTGCAAAGCAAAAGAGAGGGGGAGACATTGGACCAGTTCCCTATGCCATTGAGCCAGGACCTACGCAAGCCTATTTGGAGAACGGGCAACCACCAGGGACGACGGCAACGAAGGCGGGCGGTATGGCGATGGCGGCAACGGAACCTGAGGGACGTGAATAAGGAAAAGAAACCATCACAAAATATATAGGCAGGGAATGGCGGCTATATTTTTGGCACGACCGATTGGATTTGAACAAGACTGCTATCAATTGACTTGAGGGAATTGGCAATGAATAAGCATCTCCGCATATTATGTGCCGAACGCACAAAAAACATAAGACTTCGACCTACTCGCGACCGCTTGTCCTGCGAGATAAAGGACGGCTCGAGCAGACCTAGAATCGCATGGGCCACCCAACAACACTGGCCTGCACTTAGTCTGCTGGCCTGCCAAGATATGGACGATTACTTGATCCGGAAAGAGAGTCAGATGCGTAGCGCTGAGTATGAGTAGCAACTTGGTGACTGCGCCAAGGCCCTTCGCGATCTCATGGCCGCTCACAGCACTGAACAGATGGGCCATTCGCGAGGATACCTGGTGAGCTCTGCCTCGCCTCGATGGGCACTCGCTCGGCACGGCCCGCCAGCCGGAAGAGCGGGTGGCAACCCTTGGACGAGAACTCGAAATGCCCCACCACGCCTGTGGGGGGTCGGAGCACCTGTCCCGGGGCCCGGGGCAGGAGACAGCGTCCCCTAGGGCCGCGTCCCCTGGAAAGGACGGGACAGCACAAGGAAGGAAGGGGGGAGGAGGAAGACGAGGGGCTACGGAGGTGGACCCGAGTACGTAGCAGGAGGCGGAGGAGGAGCAGCAGGAAGAGGGTGAGCAAGAGGACGAGGAGGGATGAGAGCGGGCAGGCAAGGAGGACCGCGAGGAAAGAAGAGACGGGAGCAGGGATAAGCCAGGTGCGCTCACGCCACATCTGGCATCCCACCCCTCCCATCCATCCCTTCCCATTGCGCTGTTCTTTTTTTTTTGTTTTTCTCTCTCTCTCTCTGTCTCTCTCTCCGCCGAGAGGCTTCATAGCAGACCTGGAACTAGATCCCCCAAGGAGGACCCCCGTCGTGTCATGCAGTATCTGAACATCTGGGAAAAAAGGAGCTGTGCCCATTGGAGGAAGGCGTGGCGGAAGAGCGGAGGATGAGCAGGAGGAGGCGGCGAAGGAGAACAGGGGACGACGAGGAGGAACAGTAGCATGCACAGGAGGCGCGGCAGGAGCCAGAGACGGGAAAGGCAAGGGGGCGACCACGACGGGCAAAAAGCACGCCGAGCCAGAAATGTGGCCCACGCGGGGGCGAGAGCGCCAGTCGGAACGACGGGAACCACGCGCCGATCCCGAAATGAGGCCAACGTTGCAGCGGGAACACTGTTTTGAGACATCGGGAACCTTTCAACTACCACTGCTCAAAAATAGCTGGTCGAAAAATTTACCGCTGACTGATACCACTGTTCAACATACCACTGTTTAGTACGTTTAGCGATCGGGAAAATACTTTTGGAATACCACGGTTTACAAGCCTGCACGTAAGAAACCATATAAGGATGGGGCGGGACACTTCCAGGACGTCGTCGGGGGAGGAGGAGAGTGGTATTCATATTCAGGTATCAAAAGAGGGAGCCGGCGCGGGATGAGAAGGGGCAGCGAAAAGAAGTAGCAATGTGATCATGGAATGCAAATCAAAATAAAAGGTGGTGGCGTCCAATTCAGCTGCTGTATGATTGGTGCACCCTGGGAAGACTGTAACAAAGGAGGCCCTGGAACCAAGGATATCCTGACCGCCTGTGCGGCCACTGCGAATTCGCGCCGTCAGGCCAGAGTGACCCTTGGAGGGTAAGGCAAGCTCACGACCTCAATCCGACACGCCTGCTGATTCGAGCTTCACTGAGCCTCAGCACCTATCGAGGCCAAACCTCAGAAGCATTTCCTGTGCACAATGGTGGGGCTCGACTCGTCATACTCGCCCTTGGAGATCCACATCTACTGGAAGGTGCTCGGCGAGGAAAGGAGGGACCCACCGATTCACACTGAGTACTTGCGTTCGGGCGGAACTACGACCTCGATTTTGATCGTGGAGGGCGCTCGCCGATGCCTGGGAACATTGTGGGGCCTCCAGACAGACAACGCTGGCGTACAGATCCTTCCGGATGTCGACGTCGCACTCCATGATCGACTGGAAAGTGGTGTCGTGGATGCCGCTGGCGTCCTTCCCAAAAAAGCTGGGCTGGAAGAGCACCTCGGGGCAACGTAAGCGCTCAATTACTACAGTGATTATGCTTCCGCAAGGAAGCTCGTACGTCTGCTCCTTGTCGGAGCTCTCCGCAGCGTCCTGTCTCTCGGTGTCGCAGCCAAGCGCGATGCAGCAGAGCTTCTCCTCCACGTCGCGCACGACCTCCCGCTCAGCCGTGGTGGTGAATGAGTATCGGCGACACCAAAGGGAGTGGTTTGCAAAGGGTGCGGATTGCAACCGACCAGGGCGGCGACCTCCTCGCCTGGTGCTCCGCCCTGGACGCACACGGCGGGCGGAAGCTCAAGAAGAAACAAGACCTTGAGCCAGAATGGGCATGGACAAAGCCAGGATAACGTGAGTAGCAGGCGCATGAGCAGGAGCCAGACAATCAGAGGGAGGAGGGCGAGGAGGAGGACGACGGCAGGGACGGGGAGGACGAGACGAACGAGGAGGGGCTCAGGATAAGTGGCAGGAGGCGCAGGACCCGTCCTCGACCCCTCTCCCGACGTCTTGACCCCTCTCTGGTCGGAGCCCGGGAAAATGCTGGGGGGCAAGTGGGAAAGACGAAAAGGGGGGGGCGCCGGCTCAGGGGCGGCGAACTTGACCCGACATCGGCGACGGGCCCCCGACAGATCGGCGACAGGCCCCGATGGCAAGAACGCACGGTCCTGGCCGGGGTAGGCTAATTTCAAGGGGCCCCAGGACACACAAATAAAGACACACAGATAAAATGATTCCCCATATGTTCCTGTATGTTCTGGGTTTTTGTCTTCCCCCCCATCTCGCATATTTTCCTGGGGATCGACGATTGATTGTGTCTGTGTGTTTTTTTCCCTCCTGATAATTATCGAGCCCCCATCCGCGATGATTGGGGGTCGATGCGCTCCCCCCCGAGCCAGTCCTCCCAGCGTGGCCCCTGACAGGCCTCGTCTCTTTCGTCGGGGATCTGCTGATAACCAGCCTCGAACGTATCCCTATCCCTAAGATGGGCGAGCAAAAAGCGAGGACAATCTTAGGGATAGGCCCTCAGAAACTGAGGGAATCCTGAAGATCGGCATCGAGGTGAGGTGATGTCAAACATAAGGATAGGGATATGTTTCAAACTGGTGAGCTGACCCGGGTCAATCCAGACCCGTGTCAGTCGGGCCCTGCAGGCTCCTGCAGGACCCTGCAGGATCCTGCACCCAAACCCGGGCCCACGCGAAGGATCCTGCAGGGTCCTGTAGGACCCTTTTTGTTTGTTTTGTTTGAGACTTCCCACGCACGCGAGCTCCCGGCGAGCTCCCGCGAACGGCTCATTGGTCCTGCAGGACCCTGCACCCAAACCCGGGTCCGTGCGCCCCCGGCCTCTGGCGGGATCCTGCAAGCTTTGGCGCTCTGGCGGACCCCCGGTCTGCATTGACCCCCCCGCCTCGAGGCGCCCGCTTGCGCGGCGGCCCTCGCAGGCCGGCCCATCGGAGCTCTCCGATCGGGCGCGCCCCAGACAGGAAAGGGCGGAGTCGGCAGCGGCGTCGAGCCCCCCCGCCTGGATGGGGCGGCAGCGACGAGCCGAGACGTCCAGAGACCTGGAGCTCCGGCTGGCGCCATCTCCTCCTCCTCCTCCTCCTCCTCCTCCTCCTCCTCCTCCTGTTCTTATCCCTCCTCCTCCTCCTCCTCCTCCTCCTCCTCCTCCTCCTCCTCCTCCTCCTCCTCCTCCCCCTCCCGCACCCTGCCCCCGCCAAGCATCGAAATCGATGGGAGGCGGGGGCAGGGCTCAGATCTCGCCACGTGTGCGACGACGTCCGAACCCCACCCCCGCCGCCCATGGCGCTGCCCGAATCGTCGATCGGCGGCGGTGGGGTTCGGAATGCCCCGCCGATCCAGAGACCTCGATCCTCCAACCTCCATGCTCGATTCTCGAGAGGACGAAAAAAGGGCATGAGCACAAACTGATAGTGGTCCAGGCGGATGTATTGGATCTGCGCCGAACCCCCCTCGCGAGGAGCGCGCCAGAGACGGCGCCAGAAGCGCCGCCAGGGCGCCCCAGGGCGGATCCAAGAAATCCGCGTGGGCCGCCAAACAAATCATGCGTATGCTGTTTTTTCTTCTCTGATTCTCCGTGCTGCGACATCGGGAAGGGGTCCCGCACGACGTCGCCGATGACCGGCTCGACGTTCGCCGCTGGGGCGGCGGCGCCGGCGGCGGCGGGAGCAAACAGGTGGGACTG